AACTTCAAATGTAGACGGGGGAGGGATTAAGGAAAAGAGTCCAGTGTTTAGGGCCCTGACAGTTGAACACAAGGTTGCCAATGGTCAAAAAATTAAAATCAGGAATCAAGAGACCAGAACTCAAAATGCCACAGGCATTCCAGAGGGTTGGGGTGTCAGAGTTAAAGACACAATCCTTTTGGGGACAAACTCAGGATACCCTCCAGTAATTTGAGAGATGTATCACCACATTAAATTGAATATATTACAACTTAAAGTCAGGCATCACTAGCATGACTGCATTCCACCACAATGTTTTCTAAACTCTTGCTGGTGTGACATACTCAGTTCCTCAAATTTAGTGTAACCCCAAACAGGTCGCTTAGTGGTCAGCTGGGCAGGGACCAGCTCCTGAACAAAAGCAGCGTGGGTTCAGAACGGTGACACCTGTTTAAAGTGCAGCATTCTTTTAAACAAGGCATAAATACCTAGATTTTCATAGGCTCCTTTTTAAAAAAAAGCTGTTAGTATTCAGTCTCAGCTCCATTGCAGTTTCTGGCCTGTAGTTTGCAGGAAGCCTTATCGAACCTCCCAATCTGACATATTCCTGCTTGACCATTAATGTCAAATCAGGCAACTAGTCCTGCTTCAAAGCAGGAGAGCATGTCAGAATTAGCACTAAAAATAGATTCAAATGAGGTGGCAAGTCTGGTGAAGCTACAGCACAGAACTTCATGTAAGCTAAACAGTGCATCAGAGAAAATACTAGACAATCCTACAACTAGCAGATCAAAGTTTTGCATTCAAACCACATGTAATCTTGAAAAGGTACAGGGCGATTAAACTGAAAGCATCCCTATCATGTCAGTACAAGACAAGGCCAAAGCATTCATAGCAATCTTCAGCCAGAACAGTCAAGTCAATGACACACCTTTGTCTCTTCCTGAAGTCCCTGCAACCACAGATGCAAGTCTTTAGCCAATTTGATTAATTCCATTGGATTTCACTGGATAAAAAGTTCTGAATATACTAAAGGCTATGTGCCCTGATAGGTGCTCAGTCGCACTTGTAATTTCTCAGACTTGAGTTATAAATGGCAAGTTTATATCTTGCAGGCACCCAAACAACGATCACTTCCAACAAAATTCAATCATTTTCTTATGACATTCAAAAGATTTTATCATTGTTAATTCCAGCGTTACAAATGCCAGTCTTCGAAAAATTCAATTCATTCGACCAGATTTCAAGAAATGGATGTAGGCACTGAATACTGCAAAGGCTATGGGTCCTGACAAGGAGTCTACCATAGTGCTGAAGACATGTACTCCAGAACCATTCTCCTTGTGCACAGCTACAAACCAGCAACTTGACAATATGGAAAACTGATCAGTTACTTCCTTTACACAAAAAGATGTAACAAGTTCAAACCAGCAAACTACTACCCATCAAGTTTGCTCTCAGTCAACAGGAAAGTGATGAAAGGTATCATAACACTATCAGGCAATATTTGCTTAGCAACAACTTGCTCACTGACGCTTATGTTGCATTCCAGCAGAGCCACTCGGCTCCTGTCCTCATTGGCGTTGCTCCAAACATGAACAAAACAAAAGCTGATTCAGAATGGAGAATAACTGCCTATGACATCAAAAGGTGCTCCATCAGAATTCAAGCCAATAGAAATCAGGGAAAATTCTTTGCTGGCTGGAGACACAGTAAAATAAAATGTTGCTGTTGGAGGTCAATCTCTGCAGGTGTTCCTCAGGTTAGTGTTCTTGACCCAACCATCATCACGAGCTTTAATGACGCTCCTAAGGTCAAAATTAGGATGTTCACTGAGAATTGTAAAATGTTCAATACCATATGCAACATCTTGGAAACTGGAAACAGCATCTTGAACTGCAGCACTACCTGGACTGACAAGTAACATTCCCCCAGAAAAGTATTGAACAGAGAGAGAAACTAACAATCCCATAACATTCAAGGGCATTACCATCAGCAAATCCTCCACTACCAACATCCTGAGCATTGCCATTGACCAGAAATTGAGCAGGACTAGCTATATAAATCCTGAAGCTCCAAGAACAGATCAGAGGCTATGAATCTTGCTGCAGGTAACTCATTTTCTGATTCCTAAAGTTTGTCACCCATCTACAACACACAAGCAGTGCGATGGACTGTTTGCCATGTGTCTGGCTGAATGCAGTTCTAATAATACAAGTGGCTTGAAATCAACGAGGAAAAAAGCAGTCTGCTTAACTGGCACCATGTCCATAGCATTCACTTTCTCCGCACTAATGTTCAGTAATTTCAACATGAACCATCTACAAAATACACTGCAAAAATTCACCAATACTCCCAAGACAACACCTTCCAAACGTACAACCACTACCATATCCAAGTACAAGTCAAATACAACACCACCAGACTCAAGTGACACTCAACGCCGACATGAAAATAAATTGCTGTTTCTTCAATATCCCTGGCTTACAACCCCAAGCCCCCTTCAAGGGCAATTAGGGTTACGCAATAACTACCAACCCAGCCAGCAATACCCACACCCTGTAAAAGGAATTAAAAAAATTGATGAGTATAAAATTGGCTCCAGTGAATGCTTGTAATCTGACAGTCTTCAACTTTAAGGTATTGTTGAGTAAGGCATAGCATTAGGTACTGAAGGATCCTTAAAAAAAGTGAACAAAGTGTTTTAACAGCAAATGGATGACAAATCAAATTAGGATCCGGAGGAATTGCAATTTAGTTATAAAGTCAAAAAAGGATAGATTTGTCAAACTTAAGTTGTTTCATTACTTGAGGGCACCAAGAAGGGAGGCAATTACGGATGAGGAGAACCATGCTCAAAAACAATACTTACAGGCGATATACATGGGATAGGAAATTATGGTACTATTGAAAATTCAAGATAGCAAGGAAATGATGATGTGGATGACTCAAAGATTCACCCCAGAAAAGTAATGATGAGGGAGCACAGATGGCAATAAGCATTTAACTCTGCAATATGGTACTGTATTAAGCACAGTTTAGATGCAGACATCAAAGTCAAAGGAAGCCGAGAGTCACTGAGAACAAGTAAAGAGAGATAACAGTGGCTGCAAGGTATCACTTATATAAAAAAAATTGTGTTGCGGAATGTGTCCTCTGGCCAGGAGCATTTAAAACCCAGCATGCTTCCCTGAGGAAATTAAAAGTCAACCAGATCCATACAAGCTGTGCCAATGCTATGGTTGGTAGAATGTATCAAAGAAGGTCACATGCAATAGTACACTACTCTTATGTCATACTGCATAAGTTCCTAGCATCTATGAGCTATTCTAATGGGAAAAACAGTATTTCAGAAAGATAAGGAAACTGAGCTGGAATATTGAAAAACAAACTAAGATCCCTTTACTGCAAGTGATCTACTCCCCTACTCTCCAAACCACTCAATGCCAGATTTAATAATCCATTTCCTGAGCCAGAACAAGCCTGCAGTACTGCTGTTCATTACATTTAGCAGCAAATCCTATTAATTGAGTTTTGATGTGGAGTAAGATTCTTCCAACCCAGTTCAAGGTAATCCACTGGTCAAAGATCAGAAAATGAGCGACGTAATGATTCCAGCTGCCCAACAGGCTCGCTCTGGAGGTCTCTGCATTTTCGCTGGATTACCTCCAGCAGCGTTCCTATTCGCATCGGAACAATACTAAAGGCTAAGTTTGGGGGATGTTACTCAACTGAGATTTTTTTAAAATTAGGTAACAAACATTAAGTACTGCGGATTTTGCATTCGTTTGAATGGGACTCAAATAAAGGGGCGGATTTTGCATTCATTCCATCCAAAATAAGCGTTACAAAAAGTGATAACGTATCTGGCGGATACTGGTTGAATCAGCTGTCAAGTTTTCCTTGTAGAAAAACAGTTAAGAGAAATCAAGGAGGAGACATTGGAAGCCACAGTGATTTTAGGGAAAAAGGTTTCAATCGAATAAACCCTCACCGTGAAGCCTACTCAAGAGCCAAAAGGTGCGTTGCGAAATGGCTGCGCAGATGCAGCGGCCTCTCTACGTTCCCAGGAGTTCTGGGCCGTGGCTGCTTGTGGAGAACACTACCAAATGCAAAACGCTGAGATACACCGCATCTCTGAACGAAATCGGTAGTTTGCACGAGTGAGAAAATTCACGTAAAACATAGGAACAAGACAGTGAGAAAAAGGGGGAAAAAAGTTTGCCAAGGAAAAGTTTAATCAGTCGGCCGGGAAGAGAGCGGTGATGCTGCAGGGCCGGAGGTGAAAAAGAAGGGTGGGGGGGGGTGGGTGGGAAAGGGACTCTCAATATTGTGGAGGGAGCCCCAGGGCAGCGGGTGGTGAAGCGGAAGTCGGAGCCGGGTCACTCTCGGGGGTAGTCACGTGAGCTGCTTTTTTTGTTCCTCCGCGGCCGTTAATCTCCGCCGCCGCCGCCACTCCCACAGAAAGAAAGAGAGAGCGGCTCCAAACCCCCTCCACCGGGATCACCATGGTAGCCAACTCACAATCCAAACTTCCTCATGTAACCGCCACGCCACCAACCGTCACTTTTCACAAATTCCCCCGTAGGCAGAGAGAGAGAGAAAAAGCCGCTCCATTCGCGCCCAACAGCAAAACAAACAATCCAAAGCGCCAGTCGACATCTAGTCTTTCACCTCGTGTGTGCATTTAAGTTACATAATAATAATAATAATAATAATAATAATAATAATAATAACAACAACAACGATGAGTATATTTAAAAGAACGAACCTAACTGAGAAAGCTGAGCCGCCGTCCCGCGGAGCGGCAGGGCGTAAGGGAGGGTGTGCGGGACAGCTGCCGGAATGGCGAGAGGGTTCTCGGAGTCAAGACAAAAGAAAATGGAGCCAGGGACCTCCAGAGGAGCAACTTCAGGGCCAATTCGCGGGGAAGGTGTTGGCAGTCGCCGACTCACCCAAGTGCCACCCAGCAACGACACGAGCGCTACGGCGGCTCCTGAAAGCGGAGAGGCAGTCCTTACCTACACAGTGTATCAGTTTGTACCGCCACGAATCCAGTTCCCGCCGAAAACCTCTTCTCTCCGCCGTACATCTGGGGCTACCGCACTGACTCGCCATTCTGCCCTAGCCCGGGTGTGTGCGTCTGACGTCACCGCGCCCCTATTTACATGGCACGTCGTGCGTGCTCCTTGATTGACGGCTGTCACTGGCTGGGGCGGCGGGAGGCTGGACACTGGCTGCTGTAGCGTCCGCTCACTCTCTCCGGGGAGTGGGGAGGCGGTAATCGAGCTGGGCTGATGGGCACGGACAAAGGAGCTGCCTTGCACTCTCTACTTAGCAATCCTTTTGCATTTGTACTCATTTCAAAGCATTTAATCGCCTCGCTATGGTACTTTTTTTCTCTCCCTTGCAAAAAGGGAAGTGGTTAGTCGTATATTATTTTTCAGCCCTTCTTTACGTGAAGTTTGGTCGCTTGTCCGAAAAATGAACACCATCTTTTCACTCAATTTCAATTCCGCTCCTTTGGAAGTCAGGAGTGCTTAACGACTCGAACAAATGGATTTGGTGACTTAATCTCTACTTTTAAATCTAGGTAGAAGATGCCGGCCCATCCACCGAGTCCAAATAAAGCTTTCCTTGTAAACGTTGCATGGAGCACCTTGTATCGAAAATAAACGAACAATCATCGCACTATTGCCGTAGAAATTTACGTTAGTCTTGTTGTCAAACAATGTGTCATGATTACAAATATAAAATAAATTCTACGAGATCATAATCTGCGCAGCATTAAATAATTTATTTGCCGTGAACGAGAGGCACTGGATTACTCCAGGCTAATAAAGTTGTGATCAGTCTCATGATTGGAAATCTAATATCGTGTTTTACTTGAAGCAAAAAATAAAACGCTATATTTCTTCGATGTGATTAAACATTGAGACAACAAAACAAAATGACATAATTAAGGATGGGAAAAATCCGGAGGGAAAAATACAAAGCGGGCACTATTCAGATCTCACAATGACGTAGCAGCTGTGAAAACACGGCCAGTTGTCAATGGCCACACTTGTAACAAAAGACTATTTCGAATATCAAATCCCGACAATAGAAGGCAGATTCTTCTGAAACAATATGACTGCCCACTTTCGTTTTTCACTTCACACCAATCTGCCCGCAAAGCGTATTTACATTAGCGAGAAACTGATCACAGTCTACTGAATAATAATCACCCAAAACCTCAAGAAGTGTATTTTCTCCTCAGGTGCTGACTGACCTATTCTTTACCGTCAAAACATTCTGCTTTAGTTTTAGATTTATAGTGTTTACAATTTTTCCTTTTTAGTTTACAACTATATACGTAAAGAGGCAGAGGGCATGCATAGTAACACCAGCAACTGAACTTTCAGTTTTATTGACTCAATTGAACTTTAAAAAATCTAGTCTTGAGTTTTGTTAATGCTTTAATGGTGACCATTTCCACTGCACACAAAAAAAGTTGATTGCACCTGTGTAAGTCAATGGTCCCAGAAAAAAATATATATCTAAACATACACACCTGTGTAAAATTATGGTCTCAGGGAAATATATATATTTTAAAAATATATATAAATACATAAAAATACTGAGTGTACATATAAATTTCAGTCTTACATTTCTGTTTGTATGTGTATCAAATCTTTGCCACAAACATTTCAATTCCTCTTCTTGAATTTTTACATCCCAGCAAGTAGAGAATCATTAGAAGATAAATAGTAGAGCATCAGAAAGAAAATGCTCACCCTTATTTTTGTTTTACATTTGTTTGTGTTTATCTAAAGCTTGGATTTCAAAGGAACATTTTCATGTCACTAGTAAGAAACAATGGGACAATAATATCTTTAAAATAAATAAAACAAAGAGCTCCTCTTTTTAGTTATGTTCTTGATGAATAACACCATTTCCAGAAAATAGAGCAAGATGCTTGCCTTATTGCTGAGTTTGTCACAGATGCAAATTCAAAGATGGCCTCTTATTGTGAAGAAAATTACAGTTAAAAGAGAAAGGAAAATAAATTACAGGCATTTACAATCTTGAAATTGCATCTCTGGCTTTATAACCCATCATTATTTTTGACTATTTTATTCTATTTCTTCCTCTAAGGCCTCTGGAATCAAACACCAATTATGATTTGATGGAAAACAATCAAATGTGAGAAAGCAATTTTAACTATTACTTACTAATACCATGGAATATAGTGTTATATCCTGCAAAAAGCAAGTGATGTATTCCGTTGCTTTAATTGATTTTGTCCAAGGTTATAATAAAACCAGTATGGACTGCTGTTTTCAGGCTTGAGCTTTTTCCTTACAGGTGCTGAATTGACCTTAACTGTATGCATTTAACAATGTAGTCAGCCATGTTTGTGGTCCTCGGTCAATAGGTTACTGTTACTATTTCACATCTACAATCAGTGTTACAGAAGAAGAGGGCTTTGTATTATGGAAACCAGAGCATTGAGAATTTTAGGCCTTGCACTCAATATGGGTTTACCAGAAAGGACAATTAAAGCATGTCAAACATTTCAGAAACTGAGAAACAGTGAGAAAGGATGATAAAGTGAAAAAGAAGGCGACATGGACAGTTATAGAAACATTGATGTATATATTGTCCATTAGCAATTTCAAGGAATATAACTAGTATTTATAAGTATTGGAAAAAATATGTGCAGTTTGAAACTGCTTCTAGTCGCTCCTAATCTTGATTATTCACCTTCATATTAAATAGTGCAAGGCAGACATGAATGATATGATGGGTGTAATTTCCAGCAAGTATTGTGTTCTTTTAGAGCTGAGAGTTATATGTGAATAGTCCTCATTACGTTCAAGAATATCATTGCAGTATACTGTATGCCATGTTTTCCTTCATATTAGTAAGTTTAGACAATGTCCTTTGTCCTCAAGACTCTCGTGTTTCTGAATTATGAAAGAAGAGTCAGCATTTGTCTTTATCTTATGTTGAATAAGGCTGTAGGTTATAAAATAAAGCATATTTTTTCATACATAGTAGGAACTGCAGATGCTGGAGAATCTGAGATAACAAAGTGTAGAGTTGGTGAACACAGCAGGCCAAGCAGCATCAGAGGTGCAGGAAGGCTGACATTTCGGGCCTTTCCCTTCTTCAGAAATGGGGGAGGGGAAGAGGGTTCCGAAATAAATAGGGAGAGAGGGGGAGGTAGATAGAAGATGGATAGAGGAGAAGATAGGTGGAGAGAGGACAGACAGGTCAAAGAGGCGGAGATGGAGCCAGTAAAGGTGAGTGTAGGTGGTGAGTTAGGGAGAGATAGGTCAGTCCAGGGAGGATGGACAGGTCAAGGGGGCGCGATGAGGTTAGTAGGTAGGAGATGGGGGTGGGGCTTGAGGTGGGAGGAGGGGATAGGTGGGAGGAAGGACAGTTTAGGGAGGCGGGGATGAGCTGGGCTGGTTTTGGGATGCGGTAGGGGGAGGGGAGATTTTGAAGCTTGTGAAGGCCACATTGATATCATTGGGCTGCAGGGTTCCCAAGCGGAATATGAGTTGCTGTTCCTGCAACCTTCGGGTGGCATTGTTGTGGCACTGCAGGAAGACCAGGATGGACATGTCGTCTGAGGAATGGGAGGGGGAGTTGAAATGGTTCACGACTGGGAGGTACAGTTGTTTAGTGCGAACCAAGCGTAGGTATTCTGCAAAGCGGTCCCCAAGCCTCCGCTTGGTTTCCCCGATGTAGAGGAGGCCATAACGGGAACAGCGGATGCAGTATACCACATTAGCAGATGTGCAGGTGAACATCTGCTTGATGTGGAAAGTCTTCTTGGGGCTTGGGATGGGGGTGAGGGGGCAGGTGTAGGGGCAGGTGTAGCACTTCCTGTGGTTGCAGGGAAAAGTGCCGGGTGTGGTGGGGCTGGAGGGGAGTGTGGAGCAGACAAGGGAGTCACTGAGAGAGTGGTCCCCCCGGAAAGCAGATAAGGGTGGGGAGGGAAAAATGTCTTTGGTGGTGGGTTCGGATTGCAGATGGCAGAAGTGTCGGAGGATGATGCGTTGGATCCGAATGTTGGTGGGGTGGTACGTGAGGACGAGGGGGATTCTGTTTTGGTTGTTATTGCGTGGAGGGGGTGTGAGGGATGAGTTGCAGGAAATGCAGGAGACACGGTCGAGGGCGTTCTCGACCACTGAGGGGGGGATGTTGCGGTCCTTGAAAAACGAAGACATCTGAGATGTATGGGAGTGGAATGCCTCATCCTGGGAGCAGATGCGGTGGAGTCGAAGGAATTGGGAATAGGGGATGGCATTTTTGCAGGAAGGTGGGAGGCCCTCCACTTCTTCCTGTCCCGCAGGCCCAACCAGTCCCCCTCCACTGACACCCTCATCCGGTTAGCCGAACTCGTCCTCTCCCTCAACAACTTCTCTTTCAATTCCTCCCACTTCCTACAGACAAAGGGGGTGGCCATGGGTACCCGCATGGGCCCAAGCTACGCCTGCCTCTTTGTAGGTCACGTGGAACAATCCCTCTTCCGTACCTACACTGGCCCTAAACCCCACCTCTTCCTCCGTTACATTGATGACTGTATCGGCGCCGCCTCGTGCTCCCACAAGGAGCTCAAACCGTTCATCCACTTCACCAATGCCTTCCACTCCAAACTTAAGTTCACCTGGACCATCTCTAATACCTCTCTCTCCTTCCTGGACCTCTCTGTTTCCATCTCTGGCAACCACCTAGAAACCGATATTCATTTCAAGCCCACCTCCTCCCACCCACCTTCCTGCAAAAATGCCATCCCCTATTCCCAATTCCTTCACCTCTGTCGCATCTGCTCCCAGGATGAGGCACTCCACTCCCGTACTTCTCAGATGTCCTCGTTTTTCAAGGACCGCAACATCCCCCGCTCAGTGGTTGAGAACGCCCTCGACCGAGTCTCCCGCATTTCCCGCAACTCATCCGTCACACCCCCTCCACGCAATAACAACCAAAACAGAATCCCCCTCGTCCTCACGTACCACCCCACCAACATTCGGATCCAACGCATCATCCTCCGACACTTCCGCCCTCTGCAATCCGACCCTACCACCAAAGACATTTTTCCCTCCCCACCCTTATCTGCTTTCCGGAGGGACCACTCTCTCCGTGACTCCCTTGTCCGCTCTACACTCCC